CAGTGCATCAAGCCTGTTTCCAATCTTATTTATTGCATTCTTAATTTCTGACTAATTCTTTTTTTAACTCTTTTATCTCTGTGGTAAGGGTCTCCCTGATGCCTTCCATTCTTTTCTCTAGCCCAACGAGTATCCTTATGATTGTTGCTTTAAATTCTCCATCAGGCATGTTACTTAGATCTCTCTCACTTAGATCTCTGGCCGTGGCCTTATCTTGCTCTTTCGTTTGCGATGAATTCCTCTGTCTTCTTGTCTGTGTTAGAAAAGCCAGTTATGTTTCCTGCTTCTGAGAGTGTGGCTTTATGAAGAAGTGGTCATGTAAAGCCCAGGGCCTGGTGCTTCAGGGGTGTCTCTGGTGTGTGCTGTGTGCACTCTGCTGCTGTGTTTTGGCTGCTCTGTCCCTCAGGCCAGTCATCTGCAGAGGCTCTCCTTGCTTGCAGTGGGCTGTGGTTGGTCTTTGCCCCAGAATGTGGTGAGTTTTAACTAGGTGTGCTAGGATCTGCTTGTTCAATGAGACCTGATACTACTTCCACTAGAACTGAAGCCCCACAGAACTCTCTGGTTGGGAGCCGTGGTATGGGCAGGGGTTTCTGCTGGTTTCTGGGGAAGGGGCCCCCCTGGGCTGGGACAGAGGCAAGCTTGACGGAGAAGGGCAGTCCTGCCAGAGTGTGGTGGGGGTGGGGCTCGGTATAAGCAAGTTAGGCAGCCAGTGTCCTCCCTGTGCTGCTTCCCACGGGTGGCTCTGTATTTATGCTGATGGGCAGGGGAGGGAAAAGGCACCAGCCAGGTCCTTTGTTCTCAGAGAGGCATCTGTGTGAACGTTGCGTCTCAGGGAGAGTGCTCCAAGAAGAGTGAGTAATCTACCCCCTGTGTGCCCCAGGCAGTCTTCAAATCACTCTTTCCACACCATCTGCCCTTGAGTTGTTTGCCTGCCTTCCCCCCCCAGGAGTAGTGCAGTGCCCTCTGGGCTCTATCCCAGACAAGCCTGCTGACCTTTAAAACTCCAGGCTTTAATCCCTGCTGATTGCAAGAAGTCAGGAAATTCAGCCCGTCTTGTTCTTCTTGTGCATCTTTCCCCTGTGTGCTCCCCTCTCTCTCTCTGCAACCACAACTCCCTCCCCTCTATAGCACCTGAGATCCATTTCTCCCCTAAACCATATCCCCACACTTCCTACCTTCTAACATGTGGCCTCTTCTCTTCCTTTAATTGTGGGGTTTGTTGTGTCAGTGTTCAGGTTGATTTCTGGGGTATTTAGGATGATTTGATAGCTGTCTAGTTGTGTTCATGGGATGAGACAAGCCTAGGGTCCTCCTACTTCGTCACCATCTTCTCTTACCTCCAGTAACCCAATACATTTTAAAGGGGCTCTAATTCATGAGAAAGTTTTTCCTCCAAGTGACTCAAAATTTACTTCCCTGCATGTAATACACATTTGTTCTACTTATCCCTTCTAGAGCTAAATAGGGTAGATCCAGTTACGTTTCACATGATAGGCCTTCAAGTATGTAGAGACAGCTATTACTTCCTGGTGGAGCACTAGGAGATAGTAAATACACCCTCTCCCCCCCACTTTCAAGTTCAAAACCAAGTGAGAGACAGCCACTAGAATCTGGCAGGTGGAGATAAAAATATCAGCTTTATTTTTTAATCGCACAGTTTTTTCAAACTTTCCAATTTGGAGATCCCTCGACATGGAAGCATGAGAATTTGAGAAAATAAGTGTTATTCACAACTTTTCCCCCACTAAGTCTTACACTTTTACAGGTAAATATCTCCATTTCCTTCAGTAAGTCCTCATAGAAATATTTTCCTCATCTTTCATGATCTGATTCAGTGACCAACTTCAGATGTTCTCAAGTTAACCCAGAATACAATGGTACTCTTTCCTTTTAGGCTGTTAATGCAGTCTAAAATGGCACTTGCCATTATAATTTTAATTTTTAAATTTTATTTTTTTAATAAACACGCTGTCTCTGAAAATTGTTCCTGCAAAGAGGTCATTCTTTCTCTTCCCTCCCTCTCTCCCTTCCTTCCTTCCTTCCTTCTTATGTGTATACATGTTGCAAAATGTATTCATTTTATTATTTTTTTTCTTTTTACCTTTTGACCCCCTTCACCCATTTCTTCCTCCCCTACCTCCTACCTCTGGCAACTACCTGTCTGTTCTCTGTATCTTCTTGTTGTTTTGTTGTTGTTTGAGATTCCACACATAAGTAAAATCATGTGGTATTTGTCTTTCTCTGTCTGGCTTATTTCACTTTGTATAATGTCCTCAAGGTCCATCCATGTTGTCACAAATGACAAGGTTTCATTATTTTTTATGGCCGAATAAAAATGTGTGTGTGTGTGTGTGTGTGTGTGTGTGTACACCACAATTTCTTTATTCATTCATCCATCCGTGGACACTTGGACACTTAGGTTGTCTATCTTGGCTATTGTAAATAATGCTAGAGTGAACAGGGTGGGTGCCTATATCTTTTTGAGTTAGCATTTTTGTTTTCTTTGGATAAATACTCAGAGGTGGACTTGCTGGATCGTATGGTAGTTTTATTTTTAATTTTTTGAGGAACGTCCATTACTGTTTTTTTTTTATAGTGGCTGCACCGATTTACATTCCCAGCAACAGGGCACGAGTGTTTCCTTTTCTCCACATCCTCGCCAGTACTTGGTCTTTTTGATTTTAGCCATTCTGACAGGGGTGAGGTGATATCTCATTGTGGTTTGGATTTGCATTTCCCTGATGGTTAATGATGTTTAGTATCTTTTCAAATACCTGTTGGCCATCTCTTTGTCTTCTTTGGGAAAATGTCTATTCAGATCTTTTGCCCATATTTTAAAACATGTGGTTGGTGTTTTTCCTGTTGAATTGTATGAGTTATTTTATATTTTGGATATCAACCCCTTATCAGATATATGATTTACAAATCTTTTCTCCCATTCAGTGGGTTGCCTTTTCATTTTGTTGATGGCTTCCTTATTTATTTTTGCTTTTGTTGCTTTTGCTTTTGGTGTCAGAATAAAAAAATCATTGCCAAGACCAATGTCAATGTTAATCCGGACTATAATGGCACTTGCCATTTTTAATTTTATGGTTAACTAAGACCCCTAGATCTTTTCTTCTATATACTGATGTTTATCTAGTACTTATGTTGTTAGTGTTTGGGCTATTTCTATTTATACTGTTCCTATTTTTTTAATGTAAGTGTAGGATTTTATATTTATTCCTCCTGCATTTTATCCTGTTAGTGTAGACTAGCATTTCCTAAACTGTGTTTCTTTTTTTCTGAAAGATTTTATTTATTTATTTGTCAGAGAGAGAACGTGAGAGCGAGCATAAGCAGGGGGAGTGGCAGGTAGAGAGAGAAGCAGGCTCCCCACTGAGCAAGCAGCCCGATGCGGGGCTCAATCCCAGGACCTTGGGATCATGACCCGAGCCAAAGGCAGATGTTCAATCAACCGAGCCACCTAGGCATCCCCCAAACAATATTTCTTAAAGACAGCTGAATGTTAATGGGTGCTTCATGAATAAGGTGCTTTTTAGTCAAGTGGCTAGGGAAGCTCTTGATTTGGCACCCCCAGGGCCTTAGTCCATAGATCTATTTCACTTGACTCTGTTTTAAAACATGTTTTGAATGCCTTTAGCTCTGAAGCCCTTCCAGATCTCCACAGTCCTGACCTTCTGTTGTTTTTTTGCATTGCCACCTTCCTCATTTTATAAGCCCAACTAACGCATCTGCATCTGTCACCTTTGAATCAGCAGGTCTCTTTGCTGTGGGATTTTTCAGTGGGAACTAACTCTGGAGGGTAGCATTGCTCGTTTGCACAACCGGAATCTCTTTCCCCAGGAAACTTCTTCATGACTAGTGTTTCAGAGAGCACTTTTTGGGAAATACCAACCACTTTAGGCTCCTTGTTGCAGCCTGTTGAAAGCTTTGCGGGTGCTGTATTTGTCTTCCAGTCTCTTAGTTATCCATCCCAGCTTCACTGTCCTGGGCAGATGGGACAAGCCTGCTTTCCAGAACTTCTTTCTTGGTAATAAAAATGTCCGGCAGCAAAATAATAATAATAAAAATAAAATAATAATAAGAAAAGATGGCCGGCAGCATCAAAACACTGCCTGATACTGAATCCAGGGACATACCACTGAAAGCCTCCTTCCAGGCTACCACTGGTGTATTAAGTAGTCCTTTGAGTATAAAAGCTTTTTAACTGTCACATGCCTTGCTAAAAATTTTGGACCTATGTTGTGTTTATGTCATTGTCCTGATTTCCCAGCTTCTTAATCTTATTGAAAAACAAATGAGATTAATGTAGCCAACTAATGCAGGCCTGTAGTGCTCATCAGATCCTTTTCTAAGGCCTCAGAGGTACTTTGGAAGTTACCTAAAAATGTATCCGAGGACAGTTCTGCTCTTCTAGTTAAAAACATCTCTCTTCTCCACCTTTCCCTTCGTCTGTCCACCCACTTTCTCTAAGTGTGCTCCTTGAGCCATGTTGCTCTGTTACCTTCGTTTATAGACGTTTTCCTCTAACTGCAAGATCTAGAGACTCCTTTCTTGTCTGAGAGAAATCAAGCAGTACCAAAATATTTAGCAGTTATAGCTTCTTGCCTCTAAAAGTATAAAGACATTGCAGCCTCTAGCGTGTTACAAAGCCTTAGCAAGTCTTGATATAATGAATAACATGCATGTTTGATAAATTTAAGAATGAGAAAAGTTTACGTTGGGTGTCGAAGACGAGAGGATTTCCATTCTGGTTATGTAGCAAGGTCATGGGATACTTTTATTTTACTGTGATTTAAGAATGGTGCTATTTGCCATTATCCTTTTAGATGAAAAGATTTGTTCAGCTAATTTAATAATAGTTATAATACTCCATGTGTTTTAATTAAAGTTTCAACGACCCTTTCATAGTCATAGCAATAGAACTAAGGTTGAATAAATTCATTTCTCTGAGAAGTGATTTCTAAGTAACTTATGTTTTCGGGCTTTAACACCAGAATTTCTTCAAGACATCTTCCCGACTTGCAATCTCTCAGAAACCGGATATAACTGGAAGTTGTGTGTGACAGCTATCAACAGCTCCATCCGTAGTCTTCGCTATGACCTTAAGAAGTCCGCATTCAAAGCATAGCAGCTTAACAACTCCAACAGAGGCAGTACCAAGAGATAATGACTGAAGTACTTGAATGCCAACCCTACTTTTTTTTTTTTAATTGTTGTATCATCCCCTAAGTTTCTCAAGTCGTAATTCCAAAATTAGCTTGTTGTAGCGGCGGTGTAGTTCTGCATTCACAACTGAAGAAATATCCCATGTTCTTTTTCTGCCCACATAGCAGACAGAATTGCTTTAGGAAGATGTGTAATGTTTCATCTTGTGAACAAAGTGATGGGCAGTACTCCGATAAGAACCTCTGATTAAAGGAATGGTGGTAAACTCCTAAAGGTGGTTTTCATTGCTGTTTTAAGGTAGAATGAGAATAGCACGTTTAGCTCTTAGTGATAGATGAGATCTGAGCATCAGTGACACACATAATAGATAGTGAGGTAGACATGGTTGGATAGGCAGACCATAATTCCAGGTAGGTAGTAGACATTCAATATTCGTCAAGTGAATTGTCACTGCAGATCTGAGGTCTAAGCTCCACTGATTCAGAAGGGAGGTATGGTTTACACATAACCCAGACACCCATGTTGGCTTTCTTAAATATCCATCAGTAGGGGATTCATAAGACTGACATCCTATTGTTTGACCCAAGCTTTCCAGGCACGAGCCCTATGGGTTTTTTTTTTTATTTACTCCTGATAAGAACAGCATCCTTTTATTTACCTCCTGATAATATTTTATCACAGCAGTTTTCTAAGAGTCAACACAGAAACTCATGTCAGGAGGCTTTTTGGTCCCATTGAAGTAATTCAAATTTAAGAATATATCACGATGAATAAAAAGAATCTGACCAGATTCGAATGTTTTTTGTTGTTTTTTCTGAAATGCCTGGATGAAGGTTCTTTATATTTACTGTGTTTTTCTGATTGATTCTACTAGTTGAAGTGCATACAAATTTAAACCTTACAGTGTTTAAATGAAAAAAACATTGATCAGAAATTCAATTAGAAAAAAGTGATCTTGAAGTATATTGGCAGGAATATTGGCAAATGAAAACAATAATTCCATTTCGCTCATGAGTAGGATTTTATGTTTAGCTTAAGCACTTTAAAGTTATTGAATGTTTTAGCCATAGAAAATACTGTATAATTTCATTGTTTGATCATTTGTGTTTAAGAAGCATTTTGTCAGAAAAAAGAGAAACGTTTTGTTAGTTATAATGTCATCTCTCAGCTTTCAACCTATGGAACAGTTCTCAGTTATATTCGCTTTATCACATTCTTAGTTATTGTTCAAAAAACAGTTTTTTTCCTTGTGAGAGTTCAGGCTTTAGTTGTGCACATTTGCTTATGACCCATGGGTTTTCTTAGATAGGTGACACTAATTAACTTTGCTCTTTTGATAAGGCAAAGAAGAAATTTAATAGAAAATAATAAGTCAGTCACAGTAATTAGTGTGAAAGTTGACAAGTCTTGTTATTTTTGTGACTCGTAAAGTAGTTTAGGATGGTTTTATATGGTCAATTTGTAGAATATATACATTTTTTCAAATGATATGTCTTTTGAAAATTAAATTAAATTTTTAGAGTATTTTAGTGAAATATAGTATAACCAATTTTAGAAAGATGAAGACGTAAGATAGAATTTTTACGACCCTGTTCTCCAAATAAATAATTTGTTGTTAGTTGCCTTTAGGTTAATAAAATTACAGTATTTCTATGCATATCTTTATATGTTTAGGCTATGCCTACAGTTGTCTTAAAAAGTAAATAATTCAAGCCAAAAAATCTTCCATACAGGGCAAAAGAGTTTTGACCAGAGTTATTCAGATTAATTCATCTAAGATAGTCTTTGTCTTCACCATTCAGTTTTATAAATAATTTTACACACTATTGGTAATACAGCTAATATGGAAAAGTAAAATTATATTCTAGGCAAGATTATATTTTAAACTGTATATGCAGATTTCAAATTTGATTTGTATTTTGTGCTATCTGAAATAGTCCCTGGACTAGAAGCAATACAAAAACAAAAACTTTATATTTACAAAAATTTTTCAAGATTGACATGGTAGACTTTATTATGGTGGTTGCTTATATAATTTGTTAGACCAGTCCTGTCCAGTACCATTATATTGGTAATGTTCTATAATTTTATGTTGTCCGGTATGGTAGTCACTAGCCACATGTGGCTTTTTTGTTTTTTTTAAGATTTTATTTATTTATTTGAAAGAGAGAGAGTACAAGCAGGAGGAGCAGCAGAGGGGGAGGGAGAAGCGGTGGGGCTCCATCCCAGGATCAGGACCCAGGTCAAAGGGGAACACGTAACCGACAACCACCCAGGCAGATGCTTAACCAGCTGAGCCACCCAGGTGCCCCCAAATTTAGTTCCTCTAATGACTACATCTCAAGTGCTTAAGAGCCACATGTGGGGGGTGCCTGCGTGGGTTGGTCAGTTAAGGGTCTGCCTTTGGCTTGATCCTCATCCCAGCCAGGGTCCTGGGACGGAGCCTCGTGTCGGGCTCCCTGCTTGGCGGGGAGTCTGCTTCTCCCTCTCCCTCTGCTGCCCCCACCCCCAGCTTGTACTCTCTCACTCTCTCTGTCAAATAAATAAATAAAACCTTTTAAAAAATTAGAGGAACTAAACTTTAAATTTTACCTCATTTTAGCTAATTAAAAATTAAATTTAGATAACCGTATGTGAATAGTGGGTGCTGTATTGGCTAGCACAGTTTATAAACTCATTATTTTTTTTTAAGAAAGTGTTTAAAATGATTCCCATGGTTTGAATTATAAAATTATATACACAATTTATTTTTATGTTTTTTTACACACGGCTTCTTTACAATCACACTGATTGAGCAAAATAAATTTCACAAAGGTGCTTCATATTCTATTTTAAACTAAATTAGACCTTTCCTGCCTTCAAAATTTCACAGGTTCATTCCATTACTGTATTCATCCAATGTTAAAGATTTTAAATGCCTGTTCATAAGACTAGTTTTTGATAAATAAGTTTATATTTGTTATGTTGTCTTGTTTTACAAATAAATACAATGAATAAACATTTAAGATATTCTTAATACAGATGCTTAGGTTGTTCTTTACAATGGAGTAATTTTACAGCACTTTTACTAATGCAATCCACAGTGGTTTTTAAAAAATTAATAACATATTTTTCATCCAGTTACATAAATGTGACACACTTAGAATGTTTGCTTTCTTGCTTAGTAAGCAAAGTAGAATAGTTGAACCCAGCAACAGTAATTTACTATTGTGGGCATAGTCATAAGTATATTGAAAACTTTGGAAGTGTTTTACCCTTCCTGGGTAAAATCGAAGTGTTACTAAAGCATAATATCATTTTATACTTTAATATTTACTTAAACATATGGTAACTTTTTTTAAAAGATTTTATTTATTTATTTGACACAGAGAGAGAGACAGCGAGAGAGGGAACACAAAGTAGGGGGAGTGGGAGAGGGAGAAGCAGGCTTCCTGTCGAGCAGGGATCATGACCTGAGCCCAAGGCAGACGCTTCACCGACTGAGCCACCCAGGCGCCCATATGGTAACATTTTTATTTCGGCCAGCAAGGCTTAGATATTTCAGCTGTTTTTCACTTTTTTAAAAAAGATTTTACGTATTTGACAGAGAAGCACCGCAGCGAGAAGGGAACACAAGCAGGGGGAGTGGGAGAGGGAGAAGCGGACTTCCCGCCGAGCGGGGAGGCTGATGCAGCCTGATGCGGGGCTCCATCCCAGGACCCTGGGCTCATGACCTGAGCCCAAGGTAGACGCTTAATGACTGAGCCACTCAGGCGCCCCTGTTTCTCACTTTTGAGAGACTATTTCTGCATGTAGTAGAGGACTATCTCTGCAACAGTGGTGGCCTAACCACATTCACGCTCACTGCTTCCTTCACACTAACATTTTTTTTTTTAATTTCCCCTGCTACCTCCTCCAGCCTAATTTATTTTAACTCACAATATGTTAAGTTTGCAATGACTTTTTTCACCATGATAAAAATCCTCCTCGTCCTCTTTGAGATGGAATACTTGGTAATCTCAATTAGTAAAATTAATTTGTAAGATTGACGAGTGACAGGTGCAAATGTCTACACCAACATAGCTGGGCAAGAAATATTACTTTATTTTTCTATAACAGCTTGATTTCTATTTTGATTACACAGCCTCCAGGTGTTCTCACTAGACGTTCCAGTTAGGTGGGCCTGGGACCCGTGATGGGTGGGGCTATGTTTCAGCTCCCAGGCCTTGGTGTGACGGGGTGGGGCCGCTCCCGGAAGCTCCCAATTTTTCAAACAGGCTTTTCAGTGGGTAGAAGCTACCCTCAGCTACCCTCAGCCCTGGCTATGAATTAATGCCCGGGTCTGGGCGGAGCAGCAGCCCCGCCTACCCACCTCTGAGCTCAGGCGCGCAGGCTCAGGCTTCGAGCTGTCCCCGCCAGTCTCTCTGGTCGGGCCCGAGACGTTCTCCACGCCGCAGGTGCGGCTGTGACTCAGCACCTGGCGGGGGCCTGGGCCGACTAGGCTCTAAGGTGGGCAGAACGCCTTGTTTGAGGACCCGAGTCCGGCAGACGTGCACCTTGCCAAGTTCAGTGGTTCTGCAGGTGAGCAAAACTCGTGGTTGAGGCTACTGCTTGGGCACCGCAGTTAGGAGCCCTGCCTGGCCTGCGTGAATTGTTGCAAGCCCCACCCCCTTCTCAGTCCCACTCAGATTGCCCTGCAATCCACGTAGGGGCCCCCGCGGAGCTACCCGCAATGTCGGGGCGCTGCTTGTCACCTGGGCTCTCTCTCCCCACTGGAGGAACCTGAGGCCCAGGGGAGGCCCCTCCCTGTGGTGCTGTGCTGATCTGGGAAGGGGCAGTGCGGTCCGTGTGTGTCATCTCTTACCCCTGTGAGGCCGTCTGCCTTGGTCTCTATAGTGCAGGGGATGCCTCGGCGTCAGCCCGGTGTTCCAGCATTCTTTCGGTGGTGTTTTGTTCAGGAATAGTTGTTAGTTATAGTGAGGGAGAGTGAAATCGGGACTCTGTCGCCATCTTGGTGACGTCACTCTTGCTTTCTATTTTTGAGCCTTCATGCACTGGGAGTAGAAACTTAGCCT